AACATGGAATAAAAGCAGTCATATTTTATATATTTAAAAAAAAAGACTGCTTTCACTGAAACAACAAAATAAATATTCACAAGTAATGCATGCACAGTTATACAATAAAATGCCAATTTATATCAAGAACTATAGCAATTATATATTCTGAGTGTTATACTATTCTGATGTTATGACATTAATAACAAAACACATTATCTCTGTGTGTTGAGCATCATTTCTGGGGGCAAATTTTATACCTTTATAAATGCGAACACAGCCAGGTCAAAATATTTTTTACAAGATGAAGCTAAAAGCTAACTTGTTATGGACCTGATGTGAAGTCTGGCAGTTCCACTTGAGTGGAGTGCTTTTCTCAGTGTATTTACACTGTTTCTCAGCACCATGCAGTTAAGTGCAACTCCTTTCCTTTCCTGAGCAAGCTGGCTTCGGTGTCTATGTCATAGTTCATTGAACAGTGTGGATTTACCCTTTGAGTCTGTTTCAAGACAGGGATTTCAGTCAGGACTCCTAATCTTAAATGAATGCACTACCTTACTTGCTATTTTTAGGCTTCTGTCTTTCCCTGCCCCCTTTCCCTTCTTATCATAACATTTTTGAGAGGTCTTGCTTTCTCCTGAGGGTGAATGGGAAGTTTCTGAAATCTGAAGAATGGTTAGAGAAATATTTTACACTGAACTCAGACATTTCACACCTACTCTTCACGTAGTCAGGATTGCTCACTGCATTATGCTCTGCACATGAATTCTTTAGGTAGAGGTAATTTGGATTTTTGCACTCTTCATTGCTGAAATATAGAGCTTTCTTTCTTTAATGAGAGAAAGACAAATTCTTCAGATGTTTCTTGAATCACCCTTGAACAGAAGTTTTCTTTTGCCTCTCCAAAGAGCAGTCCATCACTCAGGCTGAGAGACTGTTTCACTTACTTTGTGAAAATTATTAAATTATCAAAATGGTTTTAGTACTATACACCACAAGTATATTACCTAAAGTAAAATTACTTCTATTTTCATTTGCCACTAATGAAAAAAAAAAAACAAACCAAAAACCAACATATTAAAATATAGCCATTAGACACTTGAAATGTGCTTAATATTGAACTTTTCTTCACAGTCACCATCAGGCAGCTCTGTTCAAGATAAATGTAACTTTTATGGATAGTCAATGCCAGATACACATTGATAATCTAGTCTTTAAAAAACACTTCTATGTGATTTCATGATTGTTTTTTTTTTTTGAGATACAAAGCAAACAAAGAATGGCAGCTCAGGAGCATATGCTCAGAGCTCCAGTCTGTGTTCAGTTTATACAAACAGTTATTTTGTTCAGGGTCAGAGAGCTATTGAGATGCTTAGCAAGTGAAGAGATAGATATTCACTAGAATGAGCTGCAAACAGCACAGAGGAGAAAATCACAGGTGAGTCCGCACCACTAAGGTGGCAATCCTGATCGTTTCTTTTTTATGTATTAGTGTGGGGAGCAAAACCACCAAAACTGCAATCTATTTACATTCCTAAAAGGAGAGCAAAGGGAAACCATCTCTCCACTTGTGTTGCACTTATCACTTTGCTGTTACCTATTTCAGTAGTTTCTTTTGCATTACCACAATAAACACAGTCATTAATACTGCATACCTGCAGTGCCTTTTCCCCATTAGAGAACTGACCATGCTGGGATGATCATCTTCAAGGATTATGGCTGTAAACAAGGATTTAAGCACTGTTTCTCAGTAAGACTGTTCACTGCTCTTCCAAACATGGCCCTAGGTTTCTATCCAAATATCGGTTTTGTTAATAAAAAGAAAACTGAAACGACAGAACTTGTGCTCAGTTAGGAAAGCCACATGTGACAGGGCTTTACAAGCAGGCTTAGAGCTCAAAGGGGAAACAAAATAGAAGAAGGAATGACATTTTTCTCATCTGGGATTTGTGATACAGGGCTATGGACAGAGGAGGAAGCAGTGCAACCAAATAGCAGTGAGAAGCAAGAGAATGAACATCTTGCCTGCTGTGCATACAGAGGGATTTTCTCTTATCCCATATGCCCTGGTTCTACAAATCTGCTTTTAGGTTAAAGTGTAGGTGTGTCTGCTCAGCAGCAGCTCCTTGAAGAAGCTGTAGGTGTAGAATGTCTGTCATTAATCAGGCTGGTGATTACTCTCATAGTCATGGAAAATGAAACGAACAGTTAGTTGGTGGATGAAAAAACAAAGCCACATTTTTCAAGTCTTCTTACCAGATGAAGAGACACCTTTTGATGATACCAGATTTCTTGTTTTCCTTTTTCTGATTCTTAAACTAATTTCTTGGAAATTTAAAATCTATTGTAGACGTAACTACCATACACACGCAAAAAAAAATTAGATATGTATGCTTTAGAAGATATGTTAAAGACTATAAAGGTAAAGGCACCAGCAGACAAACCCCAAAATGATAGTTGGAATATCTCATAATACTGATTGCAAATTATCAGATCATCACTTTAAATTATCAGCTATTAAGAATTATTAAGTTTTTATTAAGGTTATTAAGCATTACTTAGAGATCTACTACTATTTTGATCATGTAAGAATCATTACTGATTTTCTGGAATAGAAAATTTAACTTCCTGCATTATATGCTTTTCCTTCAGAAAAAGGAAATTTATTGCATTGCTGCTCTGCTAGAGATTTGGAAACTTGTAAGACTACATTTTAGATGCCTCTCTCCCCAACCTCACATATTTATTTCAAATGTAACTGGAATACACAAATCAAACTCTATGAAAATAATCATATAAGAGAACTCTTTTCTACATAGCTGTCAAGTCCCCAAGAAAATGCCAGTGCACAGTGCCTTGTGTAAGGGAGCTCAGTCTCCACACTAAGGAGAGGGACTTGGGGAGCTACAGATCCTAACACCTCAGTCCCACAGCAACAGGAAATACAGGAATTTACTTTGTCACTCTTTCCCATGCACACAACCACAACATAAATGTCATCTTCCTTTTTTTTCTTTTTTCTTTCTCATCTCTAGGTGAACAAAATAGCTTTTCTTCTTCCTTCTTTGGCCCTGAGTAGAAACACAGGTGTCTGTTCCCTGATGTGCATCTCCCTGAATGAGGTCTGACATTCCTTCTCTTCCATGCAGATGATCTAATTATTCCCACACACTGCTGAAAGGCATCACAGTTTACATGCTACAAGATGTGCTTTGCAGCACATATACCAGCATCTGCTCTGACTCCTGACAGCCAGCACCAGTCTGCAGCATAGGGCAGCACTTACAGACAACTGACATGGCACAGAAAGCACCATCTGCATCACCTTTAAATCATTAAAGTCAGCTTCCAGCATTAAAACCACAGATGCAGTTTCTTCTACTATTTATGAGTAGGCTACATATATGTATCTCAGAGCACATTTTAACTCTTAATAAATTTTTCAGCTTTTAGTGTGCAGTGACTGATCAGAATAAATTTACAGAAAAAAACATCATGTTAATATTTTAAACTTCCCAGTAAGAATACCATGAAGTTAGTTTATTCTAACTGCAGTCTGTTTACAAGAATGAAGTGGCTCACGTAAACATATTGGGAATATTATAAGACCAAAAAAAAAAAAAAATCCTTACTTTCATTTAGAATATGAAAACACACACTTATTCAAACCTTCATTTCAAGTTAGTCATCACAGAGTTTCACTCCCCAGTTCTTTAAATGCTGTGAACCTCCAGTGTCTATGCAGTTGTTTCTAAGGTAACAGATCAGGATGCCTTGTGAAAAAATGAATCAGATCTTGAATATTCAAGACATCTCCAGTTGCAGATATGAGAAAAAGGCAGTACCATCTCAGCTGAGGGTTCTCAGTATCTTTTAGACCCTGGACTGATTTACAGACAAGAAAAATGTAATCCACCCTAAAGCTGCACTGTGAAAGTACAGTGGCGTATGCAGTTTCAGGCATGTAGACTGTCAGAAATTTCTAATCAGAGCCATAATTAAGGAATTACAGAGGCTGTTCTCACCAGTCTCATTGCCTTATTGCAGGGTATACACACACAGAATACAGATGAAGAATGTGCTTGGTAGGGTTGTGCTTCATTCCAATCACTGACAGCCACACAGAAACCTTTGTGTCAGACACGTGATGCACAAGCCAAAAAATGCATTAAAAATGAACATGAATCAGCATGTGAAAATCAATGAGTATACTTCTTCCTCAAGGGACCAGATATGCATTATGTTCATAAAAGAAAACAAATTGAAATTTTTCACAGGTGGTAACCTGTGCCAATCTTTTTCAGTGAATAGGATTATTGGGTTTTCTTGAGGGGTTTTTGTGATTTGTTTGTTTGTTTGTTTTAAACTAGCTAGAACTACCTTTTGTTTCTTTCAAAGGCTGTTTTGCTGAGTCCAGAAATCATAAACATATGAATGCAAGCAAGGCACATAGAGAATGTTAACCAAAACATCATGTAAGACTTTAGAAAAGTGGTATTACCACAAAAAACTAATTAAATTCTCTGCTTAATGATATCATACACATACATTTATTGTTATATATGCATTTTGGAACATGCACATATACACCCACCACTTGTGATAAAGTAATCATAAAGTATTTTTCAAATGCCTGTCATAATGAGATCTAAAAATCAAATTCACAGAAAAAGTTCAGGCTTGATAAAAACTTTCAGAACTGTATTATTTTCCACGTTGTGTAAGGGAAAACTGAGACATAGCAGCCAGTAGCTTGTGGATCAGATAAAACTTGTGGTCATACAACTGGACAGGTCATACTACTTGCACCTTTCTTTCTGTCTCTGAAACCAGTGCTCTATCTGCTGTGTTACAAATTATTACATACTACAAATTCTTGGAATAAAACCTGTTCTGAATATTTGCATAGATTGTTTGGAAACATTCCTCAGTGACTAGTCTGCATGAAGAAAACTTCAACAGTTTTGGGGACTTGTATCATTTATCAAACTGATAAGTGGATGCATTGATTAGGAGCTTACGTTCTTGGAAGGATGTGAAGAGCATCTGGAATCGGCTGCTTCGACTGCCTTCGTCTGCCCACATGCGGATTACACCGAGACCTGTCCGCAGCATTACATCATTAGCAACAGTGCTGCAAAACTTTGCTTTCAAATCCTCCACAGAGCTGCTTCCATCATAGACAGCTACAAAATTCCTTTTGCATTCGTTGGAATTCTGCATTTCATAGTCCAAGAATCGCAAATAGATCTATGAAATAAAAAAAACAAAAAAAGCAACATGTACAGACACTTGAGAACGACTAAAAAAAAAATAAAATACCTTTGTTTTACCTTGTGGGAGAAAGACCACACAAAGCTACCATCACAGTAACTTTTCTGGAGATGGTGAATCATAGTCACCTCCTTGCAAGGGCATTAGTATGGAAACTGAGTGGTGTTTATAGTTCTTGGCATTTTGTCTTGCTTCAAAGTAGAATCTAGAGGGACACCTCAATATTTTTGTTCTTCTTTGCAGTGAGGTCCTAGTTTCCATATATATACCTGACTCTGAGAAGTATGCACAATGGTCCTTCAAGCTGAAGGACAGATAAGCTAGAAATTTCTTCTTTCGCTGGCTGGCACAGTATTGCTCTATTACATGCCTGACATGGAATATAATAAGGCAAATAATTGCTGCTCCCTCCCCACAGTCAATATGTGTCATCCTTATGATATGTCTCAGCTACACTGATTCAGGAAGTGAGAATGTGGGAGCCAGGCAGAACTCGATCATTAATATTTTCATGTTTCTTCCAGCAATCTGGCCACCATCTCAGCTTTTCTAAACAAAGCCTTATGGTACATATTTTCATAATTTAACAGGGTTGAAATCAGGCGTATTTTGTGGAAACTGATAGAAACCTAGAAAGCTTTTTGGGTTTTGGGTTTTTTTTTGGAAATGTCTCTTGCATGCAAGCTAAGCTCTCTCATAAAAGTAATAGATGTATTGGCCTTTGCAAAGAACTCTTTAAATTTAACCTAAAAGAAGCAGAGTTGAGGAGAAAATGCTATTATTTGATATTCAACTCAATACAGACTTTAATAGGGAAAACCACTCATTTTAAAAGCAATAATACAAGCAATATAGAACATTCCAGTAACAGAGAGGACGGGTAATATTTTCAGAAGGCACATGATACATAATCAAACTGCCAAGCCTACCCAGGAAATTTCAGAAGAATGATACAGAAAGGTGAAAGGCAAAGTAGGGCACAAATAGCATAAAAAGCCAGTAAGCATATACAGCATCCAGCTTCACTTGCAAAAACAACCAAAAAGAAACTCCACTGTATTAGACATCAGATACACTTCTTTACAAACAATCTTACCAACTTCAGGCAGTTGTTTTGCATGCACAGAACAATTGCTTAAAAAGCTTCTCTGGATTTGCATAAAGTATATAAACATAGTATATCCTTGTAGCAGCAGAGCTCACCACTTCACCTCAATAATATATTAAGTCTGTTATGGTTTGAGAACCGTGTATTATTAAGCAGTCTGCCACTGTTTAGTAATAGCCCAGATATTTAAATGATCCTTTTCAGGTAGTATATTATGTTACATTTTCATTCCTTGTTATGCTTTGCAATTGGTCTCTCTCAAAAGAATATTTGTAAAAAAATTTTTGCTAGCATACGAAATTTTGTATACTACGTTTCATTTTGCTTGTTTCACCTTTTTCTGGTATGTTATTCCTTACAGTAATCTTTACAATGTTCCAGCATTCCCATCCTCCAGAAGAACTCAGAAGAATCTATTTCAATTAAATTGCAGTTAAGTAAATTCTACTTTCACCATGTATCCTGGTTCTTAAAAACTATAAATTAAGGAAGATGCCTGTATTAATCTCTACAAAATGGAACAGTTAACAGCAAAACACAATTCAGATGGCAGTATCTTATATCAATGAATACTTTTCATAGTGTTTTTAATTTCATTTACTGGTTGCTGCACCCCTGTAAGTGGAATGAAAAAATATTAGTTTGGTCACCCAGAATTGCTGAAATTTTCTCACACTAGCCACTACTTTTTATGTGTGTTGTATTGAAATGTCCTGCCATTTCCTCTCCTACTGGGGAACGTGAAGTTTACATTCCTGTTAAAACAGGCCACAGACTTCCTTGGAAGAGTCATACTTAAAAATTTGTTTTGAATTCTGAAGATTTGTTCAGTGCAGAAAATGAATTTCTGAAGTTCCTCTGCATTGGTTACATCCTTTTAAAAGTCTTTCATTCTTTAGCCTCTTCCTCCTTTCCCCAGCTGCTTAGGCACCTGACCCTTCATGACTCCTCATGCTCCAAATCCTTGCTCTTGGTGTTCTCCAGCTATTTAGAGCATTTCTGTCTTACTGATATCTGACTACTTTAGCCCCTCAAGTACATCTCATCTTCAGTGTGTTTCCTCCTCTTTTCTGCTTACATATCATCAGCCACTTCCATGGCCACCAGGCATATGGCTGACCTTCGCTGCCAGCTGCTTCCTAAAAATCATTACACCTCTGATAGGAAGTATATGAAAATGTGCAGAAATTAACTGGAGCCAAGCAAAAATAACCAGCAAAAGTCCAGTGAGAGAATTGCAGAGAAGATTTTTGGACCAGTCATTGACTCAAACACAGCCACGAAGAACTGGGCTCTTACTCTTCACTCTCATAGCTTGATAAGATCCTCTTTCATTAGTGGCTCCTGGGGTCCACCTGGTGCAGGGTCTCTGTTGTCCCGCCAGAGCAAGATTATATGTGATGGTGGGAGGTATGGGAAAAGACAGAGCTGTGACATCCACACCAAAAAACTGGCCATAGCTAGAACACACCAGAGAGCTGCTTCTGTGTCCTAGAGACCATTTGCTCCTGCTCAAACAAGACCATAACAGGTGTTGTGAAAGTCTGGTACACAAACTCTCTTGTGAAGCTGCTGAGGTAGTCCACAGTCCATCTCTGCATAAAGTTTCACTTAGAATGAGAAGTTAAATGTGCACCTTGCTTCCTTTCCTCTGCTAACAGAAGCAGCCTGCCTCTGATGGGTACTTGAGTGCTAGCCAGCTTTGTCACAGGTAGTGCAATACAAATATGCAAAATGACTGCTTTCCAGGAAGCAAGGCATGTCATATAAATGTCTCACAGAGAAACACAGATGGCTTCCAGCATATTATATTCATGCACCATTATTTTTATGCTATATATGCCTATGATGTGTATGCCATCTATACCTTACAATATGCCATATAAAGATAAGATATACTGTAGAGATATAATGTAATGTACATATATCACATTTCACTTTTAAGGAAAGCCTTTACCTACTCCAACTGCAGTTAGTCCAACTGCAGAACAACAGTAAAATTATACTTTACCTAATGGTGCAAAAACCTCTTACGCTTGCTCACTTGTTATCTATTTCTACCCTGCTGCTTTGTATATATGTATATACATTTATATGTACGTATGTATGTGTGTATGTATGAGCAAACATATATCTTGCATAGGTTATCCCATTTCAATATTGCGATGTAATTTATGTCTGGTTTTATTCTTATAGGAAATGTGTGCTAATCCTTACAGTGGTTATAAAATACCAGCTCTCACAGCAATTTCCAGCATTCATCAATTATTTCTGATCTCTTCAAACAGATCGTTCATAGAACAGTACAGCCAAAGTCTTATATCTATGGACTTATCATTTGACATTCTCTACTTTCTGGTGGCAGACTAGCCTTATAAAATAGTAAAATATTTCTCAGAGTAGCAGTTATAAGTGCTGAGAAGGAATCAGGAGAACAATAACTTAGCATTTCTCTTTGAGTCTTTTAGTGAAGAAGCCATAATTTTTACTTCTTCCCAAGCCTTAGTTCTGCTGTCAGTCATGCAAGCTCGTCCTGTATGTGATAAATTCAGCTAAGATCGTAACACATATAGACCTGGTAGATACCGGAACCACTGGAAAGAAAAATTTGACTTAGAAATTTATGTCTGTCCTTTAGAAGAAAGATGGAACCTTCTCCAATGGTATAAAGTTTCATAAAATAGAGAAAATAAATTCCTGATATTCTGAAGTGAGTTGGAATTTTATTCTCACCATCTCCTTTGGAGATGACTATTCCCAGAACTTTATATAAAGTAATGAGGACTTGATACAAGGCACACTAAAATCTGTGGGTATCTTTCTATCTACTTATTTGGATGGGACCTATGGATTAAGACTGCAGGCATTTAAAAAAAAAACTTGGAAACTGATTACACAAACTGACAACCTGATATTGGATCAGATTCTATTTTAAAGAGCCGGAATAATTTAATTGCATCTGCACACCTCTGCCAATTTTTATGGATTTATTACTGTATTTTTGCCATTGTTCCTGTCACCGGCTGTAAGACCCACACTGGCAGAAGAAAATGAATAATAGAGTTCCCCAGGGAAAGAATAAACCTAATGATATGATATACTGTTATCTAAAGCAAAATGTTCATGCACATAGTTTTTTGAAATCAGTGGCAATATTCTCATTACTTTCACTGGTATGTGGATCTCACTAAAAGAAATTAAGCAGAAAGTGAGAGAAAATTATCATTAATATTTCAGGTTATCTAATTTACTGAGATCTTAGTTATTATTTCTACCAGCAGGACAATGGATAAGAAAATTTTATCCCCCTCAAAAAACAAATTAAAAACAAAAAGATCAAAACCTCAAATGCCACCATCTGCCTTCATTAAGCATTTCTTTTCTTCAGTGATGCCAATAAGAACTTTTGGAATGAACATTTCTGTCGATACCGACACACTATATTAACACAATTGGGGCATTCCTGTTGAAGACGTCTTATTTGAAAGAAGCAGCATAACTGTCAAATCTTCTTCTTTCACATTTCTGTGTCAAGTTTTAATAAGATACTTCCCTGAAATCATCAGCTCCACATTACTTAGAAGAACAGGCTGCTAGTGCACAAGTATTAGCTTTTACTGAGTTTTGAGATGTGGCTGCAAATACCAATGCCATTAGCAACAAAACTCAGAAAGCCACACTGCAACTGTGGAAAATCTATTTATACACTGTCAAACATTTCAAATAACTGTCTTGTCACCTTTAAGGCTGTATTGTCAACATAATACTAAAAGTGATTGGAAGTGATGGATAAGTTTTACTATTTTTTTAATTAAATTTGAAAACAGATCTCTGACTGCATACATAAAAAAAAATAATTATTTTAAAC